ATTAATGGGACACAAGCTGATATATACAACAACGAGTAAGATTCAAGCTCTAAATGAGGAGTTTCATATCACCCACAGAACTGTTGACCCTTCATGTGGTATTTGTCTCCAAAGGACAGCTTTTAACATGTATCCAGTCTACTGCCTATTCCTTGCGCCTTAGTGTGAGCTATCGCTCACACCTCAGCACCTGGGTGGGGTGAGCCTCCACATACCCGTAAAACTATATAACATCAAGTACTTCTGTGGCTACTTGATGCTGGCACAGTCATGTGAATTAAATTGTTAAATAGGATAGTCTTTTGGCATCCTGTTAACCAAAAAGTACATTAATTTCTCAAAAAGTGCTTTATAAATCTTTTGGTATATATAGTATACCAAAAGATACCAATATATAGTATATCTTTATAAATCCTTTTTATAAATCAAAAAGTCTTTTGGCATCCTGTTAATCAAAAAGTACCTTAATTTCTCAAAAATTGCTTTATACATCTTGAATAAAACAAATACTGTATAATGATTTTTTTAGCAATCATGATGAATCTTTTAATGTCATGATATAATCCTGAAAAAAAGTTAAAATGCATAGAAGTATTTTTTTTGTAATTGTAAATATTTGTTTAAATTTTATTGAAGCATTTAAAATATTACAATTTCCATGGTAATAAATAAGTATTACTTTGGAAAAAACGAGAAATAAATATTTTAAATTATTACTTACATACTCAAACTATTTGAAAGAAATTTTATAAAGTTGAACTGAATGTTACATCAAAGACAGATAATTTTCTTAGAATGCTTTATGAATAATGTCAATTTATAATTTAGAGACACCCCAAATTCCGAGAAGTATAAATAAATATAATTTATTTATATTATTATACAAGTATAGTAATATAAATACAATTTGTTTATAATGAATATAATTTGTACATGGAATAACTTGGATTTGGATACAAATTATATTATTTTTTGTTGTCTTTAATGTTTAAATATCATCGTTTATTTTTTTTATTTTCATATGATATTTCACTTCAAAATTGTATGGTTAATTTAAAATATTTCCACTTATTAGTGAAGTATTTTCTAAATTCAGAACTCTAAAATATGTACGTTTTAAATTAAGAAAGTATTCTAAATCTTCTTATTCTAAAACGAATTATTCTAAATCCTTTGCATAACTATACTGAATATTTCATAACTGAAAATATGAGTAAAATTTTGTACTTTTACGTAGTAACATTTTTATTTTACAGCGTGCGACAGAGAAAATGAAGAATTTTTAGATTGTGGAACTCCATGTCCTATAACATGTGAGAATTACCATAAACCACCAAAACTTTGTCCCATGCAATGCATCATGGGATGTTTTTGTAAAGAAGGCTATTATAAAGCGTCAAATGGATTTTGTGTTTCCAAAAAAGATTGCTTTTAAACATAAATCATATTAAATAAGTTTCAGAAATAAAGACATGATTTAAAGCTGTATTATATGATTTGTAATCTTTTTATCAAAATCAATCAAATTTTTGAAAAATATAGTGTTATACTATTATCGCAGTTGTTTCTAAGCAAATTAGCTATGGGTAACTTAATTTAAATTCAGGCTTGAGAAAAGGTAACGCTCGCTTACAAGCCATCTTCTCGTTGAACTTTTTATTGATTTAAAAATTACTTCAATCTTTCTGTCATATAATTCCTTTTTTTCTAAACAATGAAAGTGCTGAAAATTCTGATGTTTGTCAAAGTCATTGCATTATGAACAAAAAAGAATTAGATAACTAACACAATTCCAGAAATTATACATTTTATTGCAATTTAGACTGATACTTTAGAACAGTTAATAATAATAAAAAAATTATTTTATTTACTACTGAAAGATTAATAATTCATTAGAATAGGTTGTTATTACAGAAAGTAACTTTAAAGAATAATTTGCGAACCCATAATTTCATTTTCATACAAAATTAAGAATTCCTGCTTACCGTGCAGATGCGTTGCCATTTACGCTATCCAGACCTCCAGTCCGATTTCCTCTTCCAGCGTATATTCCAGACCTCTTCCAGCGTATATAAACTAACTATATAACCATCGACGGTTATTACAACGCCGGCTGGGGTTGTAATAACCCACGCCCTACAAGGCACTCAACCGGCCATCGCAAGCCCCGGCAAGGTGTAATATATACAAACATTGCTAAACCCAATATATAACATAACTAAACACCAATTGTATGCCGAAAATCTATCGGGCTAGTTTTTAAGGCTAATTACTAAATGAATTACCTTACCAATTTGTAATAACCGTCGATGGTTAAATAGTTAGCTTATATACGCTGGAAGAGGAATAGTGGAATAGGACGATTAATTATCTGAGATGTTCACTCTTGACGAAACAAAATTAATGTTTTTCGACTGAATTCGACTACAAAATATTACAACACAAAATTAATGTAAAAATACCGGTTTTTCGACGCTGAATTTTTATTAATTAATTTTTTAAATTGGTGCCGGATTGATTGAGGGTGTGAAATTTCTATTTGACTAAGCACACGCGTGACAATGAGTAAAAAAAATTTTTAATCTTTTTCTATATTTATTATTTATTTGTATTTTAAAAATATGTTTTTCGACTTAATTTAATTTCCATTGTTTAAAACAGAGTTTATTGTATTTTTTTATAGTTGTCATTTGTATTTTAAAAATGTTTTTTTTCTAAACTATGTATTGTTTATTGTATGAATAAAAAGCTTATTTTTAATGTAATTATTAGAAATTCGTGAATTTTAACTACATTTGTTTCATTTATTTTGTATTGTTACTTCGAAAATTTTTCACTAAAAACTAAATGTGTAATATTTTAATGTTAAAAAAATGTATTTATTAAATTAAATGTTTTAAATAAAAGTTTCTGAATAAATTATTTAATCGTCTTTTTTACAGAAATAATTTATAGCCACTTTATAACGTTGTTATAATTTTTAATGTTAATTAATATAAATCACTAAAAAAATAATAAATGTTATTTCATTTATATAGCATTATAAAACGTAATTTATGAAGAAAGTTTGCATTCAAATTATTTCATATCAGGGCTATCAAAAAGTACTAAGCATTTGTAAAAGAAATCTATCGCTTTCTTCACATGCAAAGTCATAAATGAAGCATACGTCATTATCTGCTGTGTATAATTGATAAAAATTTTTCAAATTTCTTTCAGGTTGTTCGTTTCGTAAATATTGCTAAACCGATAAGCTAACCATCATGCTGAAAAGATTTTTCAAGATCAAATTGAAGAACCATTAGTTTATTTCATATTTAACCGGTTTATGCAACCAAATCGATTGTTTCCATATCAATGCCATTCTGTGAGTGACGTGAACGATCGATATTTGGAAAAACAGTCTCAAGGAACACAACACAGCGATCGATTGCCAATCTGAAATTGTCGTGGTCTTCGCAATTAATAATAATAGAATATGGAAATTACTAAAATTAATTATGATAAATGATAATGCATAATTTATTTTCTAATATAAATTTTTGAAAGAATCGAATCAATTAGTACAAGATTTACATGTTATCTTCGCATCCATTTTGTACATACATTGATGCAATGGAGTATTCTTAGGCCAAGACTCCACTAGCTTAAAAACGGGCGTAAAACCCTCGCCGTAAACGCTTTTAATCACGTTATCGTGATATTTTACGCCTGAGCAGGTCGTAAAACCAGCGTACAAGCCAGTTGAGCAGTGTTCAATTCGCTTTCACGCTGGTTTTACGATCTGCTCAGGCGTAAAATATCAGGGTCACGTGATTAAAAGCTTTTACGGCGAGCGGTTTTACGCCCGTTTTTACGCTAGTGGAGTCTCGGCCTTAATTACATCGATGTAGCCTTTCCCTTGAAAATATACGTCGAAGTCTGAACATCCATCGAATCACCAATCATATTTGTAAACATCAGCACAGTTCAGGTCTTCTAAAAAGTCATTGTCGCTTCGAACGAGCTAAAATTTAAGTAATTTGTATAGCCCGACAGATTAGGCACTGAAATATAAAAAATTATCACATTTATTACTCACGCAAATATTATGCGTAATGCTTTAAATTAAACAAACTAGACTCACCGTAAATTTTATAGGAATTGGTTAAATATAATCGATATAACTTGGTGTTATACGCGCCGCCATTATCTCCCACTCCGTCGACGTTTAACCACCAAATTTAACAGCATCAATCCCATAATAAACATCCACTTAAAATTGCAGAATTTTTTTACAAAAAGCACAGAAGTTATTGAGCTTCGAAAAGAAGTTAAACAAAACAATGTCTTTCGAAACACACAAACATCCATATATACGGAAATTACCCTCGATTTTTTTCCATTTCTCGACGTTTAAAGTTCCCTGAGTCCAATAATGTAAAAACTTTTTGGAGGGGTTAATTTTTGACCGATCGCCGTACTTTCCCATCATTTTACTTTCCGGGCTGTTATATAAATCATGTATAAATTGCGATATCATTCAAGAAATGTGACATGATCAAGTGGAAAGTGAATTGTCACTATTGTTCAATTGTTTTTATTTGAAGTACAGTACGTGGCCGTCGATAGCTTTTACGGGATCCGGAAGAAGAGCGGGCTTCTTTTGCCATTTATTTTTGAACAAACGAATTACGTATAATCTTTCTTTATTAATAAAACTAGCACTCTTAAAATAACTTTTTAAAATTTGTTTAAATTGATTTTTAACTCTCATATATTGGACTAAAACCGTTTCATAAAAATAGTACAAAGAACATTTTTGTTCTGTGTTCTCATAGAAGGCAAATGTTATTTCGATAACAAAAACATTTTATTACATTTTTAAAAATTCTTTATTTTTATAACATCATTTTCATAATGAAAACATTCTCTATTATTAATGTGTGTAATATAACTACAATAATAAAATTTCAATAAGAAGTCTAAAAAACTGAATAAATGATAATCTTAGGAATTAAATAATTCCTTACAAGTTTCAAACTGTTTAATATATTTATATTAATTAATATTCCTTCTGCTATAGAGTTTAATGTAAGGATTCAAATCACTGTTAACAGAGAACTTTTGTAAAAAATAATCGCACTTAATTAAATGGCTTTTCTCCCGTGTGGATGCGAAGATGCCTTACAAGATGCTGTTTTAGAGTAAAACTTCGTTGACAATGATCGCATTTAAAAGGCTTTTCTCCGGAGTGAATCATCCTATGACGTTGCAAGACGTATTTCCGAGAGAATCCTTTGCCACAATTTTCACACACGAACTTCCTTTCCTTCGTATTGGCTAAATCTGCGAAACACAAAACGTTAAACTTCAATTTTCAAAAGTAATCGATCGTATTAATTACTGCAAAAAATGCAGAAGACATTACTTCTGCACTTCTTGACAAAAAACGCTTCACAATAACTTAAGAAATAAATCTAAATTCAATCAAACATAAATAACATTTGTAACGAACCCCGTGTTTCCATTACAAAAAAAAATAGAAAACTAAAGTTTATAACAATGTCGTCGTAGCGCATTGACAAAAAAATGTTCAATATTAGAGAGGTTGCGGCCGACGTTTTCAACGCGAAAACGTGTACGTCGGACGTTCAGCGCAGCTCTCCTAAAGGCCTACAAGTTTGGCAATGGTGTTTGCGACGTCGAGCATGATTCCACTGACTATCCAAACACCATTGTCAAACTTCTAGGCTTATAAAAAGGCGGCGCCGATCGTCCGACGTACACGTTTTCGCGTTGAAAACGTCGGCCGCAACCTCTCTAATAATTCATCGACACAAATGTGTAGAGAGATGAATCGTTTTCATCTGAAATCCATTTTCTCAGCAGAAAATATTCATTTCCTTCTTCCATTTTTGTAATTTTTCACAGAAATTCTTCAGGAGAGATGTTGGTATTCCGTAGGAAACATCTTAAAGAAAAAATGTAGAAGTTATAAAATGAATAAAGAATAATTGAGTGTAATTTCTCCTAGGAATTAAAAGATTATTTGAGAAACTTTTATATTATCAAACACGAATAAATTTTAAATACACAAAGGATATTTGGCAATACTTAAGAGGAGTGTTGACAAATCTGAAAAAATAAATAAGATTCAATTATTAACGCTTTCATTGATTAGTCAAAATAAAGTAATTCCATCCATTGAGTATTTTCATTGTTAATAACAAAAGCAATTTCTTTGATTCAGAAGGTACATTTGATCCTACGATTCAGACAAAAGGTAAATCAGTTTAGTTGCGTAGTTAAGACCAGGTTATAGAAATAAGGAAAATATACTTTAATTTAAATTTAGTAAATTTCAATAAATTTAGTGAATTTATTAATCTATTTACTATATATCGAATAAGATGGAGAATATAACGCACGTAATTAAAATAACATACGAACATTTACTTGAAAAATCCACGTGGAAGTTTTCGTTTCGTTCCTTCAATTTAATGTTATTGCTGTTATCATTTTCGCTTCTTCCGAGGAAAGTTCTTCATTTCCTAATGGCAGAGAGGACATTTAAATCTTTTTATAACTAAGAAGTAATTCTCTTGTTAAATAAAAGTAGCTATCTCATTTTCATTTCATTTCATTGCCACAGAGGAGTGGTATAGCTCTCAGCTTTGTCACTCCGGAAGAAACAGGAAGAGTCGGTCTTATAGAAGACGACCAATCCGACCCCCGCGAGAAAGGGAGACAGAATGCCTTCCGGGAGGACTTGGAGGGAAAGCTGGCCCCTATTCAGGCGTCATTGGCAAGGAGGAAAACCCGGAAAAACTCCCGCTGCCAGCAGCGAGTGCGGCGCGAACCCCCGATCGAGCTCCGGTGTTTAGGGTCTGGTCACCACTATCAAGCGGAGACGGAGTCCACTCGGCCATAAAAGTAGCTAACATTCGTTACATATTTAAAAATAACAGTGGCGCCACCTAATATTTTAAAACAAAATTCGTATACATCGACATCACGTCATCAATGGTATCTTTTTAACAAACGTTTTCATTTGAAGTGTTTAAGAAACACATTTCCATTCAAATCCATTATTAGTAACAATGCAAACATTTATTTAGTGTTTATTAAAACTTTAATTACCTGTCATCTGTTAACGATTACCGGTTTCATTTTAAATTATGCAAATTGATGTACAGTACGTTTCTAATTTAAACTAGCCGGAAATCCATGTGTGAAAAAACAATAAAGGAGTTTTATAACTTGAATAGCTGTGAGGTAGTCTACCGAAGGATTTTTTTTTTCGAATTGAAGAGACATTTACTTACTTAATATTTATTATATATTTGTGAGAATACGGACGAGGGTCAAGGCCCTCTAATCGTCAGATCCTTTAGACCTGCTAACTTTGTCACTGGATGGCTTATTCTAAACAGAACCCGAGTGGTAAGATTCTGTGTAAGTTTGTGCATAAGGANTTATTAGCAAACACATCATTTTAACGTCTGTAAATTATTCAAGTGGTGACATATATTAGTTGCGACACCTTTACATGAAACATCTGTTTTATAGATTAAAACATATTTATTTTACATTGCATACTACAAATATATCGAAAGTAGATCGTGAAAACTGCGTCGTAACATTATAGTAAAAAGAAATAAAAGGTAAGTATTAATTTTATCTTTAACTGTCTACTCGGACATTGCTTATTAGTAGGACGTTACACTGGTGTTTAAAATTTGATACAAAGCTGACAGTTAGATAAAAAAAAAACAAAAATCTTTTATTAAAATTCACCTGTAGTAGTAATTTAAACAGAAAAAGTTACTACTACAAGTGACTTTTAATAAAAGTTTTTCAGGAGAGAGTGAGATATCGAGATTTTACCTTGGCTTATGTGAGAACCGAGGGGGTATTGAGCGTCGAGCTCGACCGTACTTACCGGCTTCTCTGTCAGAGGATGGCTTTTGTAAACGCGTTGGAGGGCTAAAAGTGTGTGGGGAGGTCGATGGGCAAGCCGACAGGTTCCGAATAATTACACAGGTTAAATAAGAATAACACATTTAATAAACGATAAAATTATACAAAGCAAATACAAAAACGAATGGCTACAAAAATAGACATAGTCAAAAATTCTAGGTCGCGACAATGATTACTCCGTTCTTGTCGATACACCGTCTAAGTTCTGGACCTTTATCTGTCCCAATATTCTCTAAGTTAAACTATCCTTAATCTAGCTTATAACTAGAAGAGAAACCCGAGAGAGAGAGAGAGAGTTTACAAATAATTTAAGACACTATCTCCGGGTTTTCCGATTTCTTCATATGGGAGGTTGGCGAAACGTCCCCGATCGGCGGAGTTGACCGTTGACGATTATGGCGAGGTGGCGACGGACAGAATGGCGGTATACGTAAGTCTGTTGATGTCCGCCCTGAGGACTGTGTCCATGCCCTTTTTATACCTGATTTTGGGAAAGCTGACTAATGCTATGGATGATGCAACCTGTTATAAGTTCGATTTGTGTCCGGGATTTGTTTATATTAATCGTCAGAAATCGAACATTTCTTTAAATTCATTACCTTTTTCTATCCGTTATGATTACTCATTGTACCTCATAAATTTGACATCAGCTGTCAAACAACTGAATTAATAGCTGGAGGTTACTAAGGTCAGAGTTTATCTTGCAACCTTAGTAATAAATGTTTCTTAAATGTCATCTTGATCGACTTTATCATTACAGAATCAGAGGAAATAGGAAGTGTATGGGTGGATTCTGTTCGTTCGTTTGACCTTTTGTTATTTACCCAATACGTCGAAAAAGATTTATATATATATATATATAACAAGAATTATGATTTAATTATTCTTTTTTTTCTCCCTTCCGATTCTCACACTTATATTTTCTGCGTGATTCTTGCAGAAAATATGTGCTCGAAAGCACATATTTTCTGCAAGATCTTGGTTCAGGTTTATGATCTTGGTTCAGGTTTATTTTGTATAGCTAATATTTTGGCTAATAAATAAGATGTAACTTACATGCATGCTTGAAATGTGTTGCTTTAATCTGAAAATATTCTTGAATGTTAGTAAAGGTAGATGCTGCATTTTGTAGACTTTCCAATAAAACAACAACATCCCAGAGTCTAGCCTAACCTTTCATTAAATTCTTCAATGTATTTTTTGAAGGCAAAGACAATAATCAACACAATGTTTGATAATATTAAAAGATAGTAAATATACTAAAGTCCAAGCTTTTTCTTGTTCAGCCAGCGGCGATTGATGGTTCTCTTTGAAATAAATATACCGTACAGTACTTGGGACTCTATAAACGGATTGTATTGCACCATTGTTTTTAATATTTTCTAAGTTAAATTATTTTTATAAAACTGAGGTAAAAAATTTTTAACACGGATAATAACGCTAATAATCTATAGTTTGATGTAAAAGCAGATCACCATTTTTATAAATCACACGCAATACCACGTGATTTTAACTTTTAGGTATGAAGATATATAGTAAAATTCCTGTAACCCTTGGAAATATTTTAAGAAACAGTTTGGAAATATTTTTTAAAAGCCAATAGGAATTTGATCAGTCCTCCGAGCAGTTCCTAGTTTCATTTTATTTATAATTTCTGTTATATTTGAATGGTAAAATGGCTTTTCTATGTCGTTTCCTAAGGTAGTCTAGAGTTTATCATTATTATTTGTAAACTGATTTAGAGTTTAAAAAGTTTTCGAAGTTTGACGTAAGATTTCCTGTTTTTCTATCTGTTTTACTTTTAATTTTATCATTATTTATTACATTCCAACTTGGAATGTAATAAATAATGATAAAATTAAAAGTAAACAGTCTAAAAAAGTAAACAGTCTATCATTTACTTGGAATTTCCAAGTAAATGATAGACTCTTTATAATTTCTCACTATCGTTTAATTTGCTATCCATCTTCTTTTCTTAGCACTTCATAAGTTTCTGTAAATTCTCTTTTTAATTAAGTACTGACCATTAATTAATTAAGATCATTTTATACTAAATTTTCTAAATTTAACTAAGCTTCTTTACTTCGCTCAATTTAGCATTACGACAATCCTTATCAAGCCATTGTTGTTTGAATTTGTTATTAATCTTTTTAATACAACCGTTCGGTTTAATATACTTTTTAAAAACTTACTCTCTATATTTATTTTGTCTTTTTTTAAATTTTGTCATATATATTTACAGAAAGAAATCAATTCGAACCTTCATCATTGAACAAAAATTCTACACGGGGTGTAATGATAAAAAATAATCTATAGTTAACTGACTTAATGCAGAAAGTATTAATGTATTAACTCTTATAATCATCATAAATGTATTCATTTTAAAATAATCATATATTTTTCATGAATTGCAAACAATTCTTCATTTTCACCGTTCGAGATTTTATTTATACAATTATTAATGTTGTAATATCTGTAGACATTCTGTAATTTCTATTTGTGCATCAAAATCACCATATAACAATCAAAGCAGAGCAATTGAACATCAAACCTGCAAATTTCTATCAGAAAAGCTTCCTTTTGTACCCACTGATAAGAAACAAAGTGGTTGAAGATGCTTTTAAGTTTGAAATGCAATTTATATTTATAGCATACTTTAAAAATAGAAAATAAATATGTTTATTATATTTAAATATTAGAACCAATTGTATATTAATTTAAAAACAAATAAATATTACTAATTACTTATGTAATTATTACAAAAATTTATCATAGCGTAATACAACTGTGATTTTACTACAAATATATCAAATATTATTGCTATTCATCTGTTTCGAAATTTTGTGAACAGGTGAAGGAAATCACATTTACATCTATAAAAGGAATATTAAGAGTTAGTGTCGAGCCGATCTTTGTGATTAATTATCAAACATGAAGGTTCTTCTTGTAACTTTTTTAATAATTGCTGTCGTTTATGCTGATTCTAAGTCGTCCAGTAAGTATATTACAGTAAAGCTGGTTCAAAAATTAATTTTATAGTTTCCATAGATATAGAAATTTATATACGATATAAATATACTTGTATATGTAGTATAAATAAATATAATTTATTTATATTATTATACAAGTATAGTAATATAAATACAATTTGTTTATAATGAATATAATTTGTACATGGAATAACTTGGATTTGGATACAAATTATATTATTTTTTGTTGTCTTTAATGTTTAAATATCATCGTTTATTTTTTTTATTTTCATATGATATTTCACTTCAAAATTGTATGGTTAATTTAAAATATTTCCACTTATTAGTGAAGTATTTTCTAAATTCAGAACTCTAAAATATGTACGTTTTAAATTAAGAAAGTATTCTAAATCTTCTTATTCTAAAACGAATTATTCTAAATCCTTTGCATAACTATACTGAATATTTCATAACTGAAAATATGAGTAAAATTTTGTACTTTTACGTAGTAACATTTTTATTTTACAGCGTGCGACAGAGAAAATGAAGAATTTTTAGATTGTGGAACTCCATGTCCTATAACATGTGAGAATTACCATAAACCACCAAAACTTTGTCCCATGCAATGCATCATGGGATGTTTTTGTAAAGAAGGCTATTATAAAGCGTCAAATGGATTTTGTGTTTCCAAAAAAGATTGCTTTTAAACATAAATCATATTAAATAAGTTTCAGAAATAAAGACATGATTTAAAGCTGTATTATATGATTTGTAATCTTTTTATCAAAATCAATCAAATTTTTGAAAAATATAGTGTTATACTATTATCGCAGTTGTTTCTAAGCAAATTAGCTATGGGTAACTTAATTTAAATTCAGGCTTGAGAAAAGGTAACGCTCGCTTACAAGCCATCTTCTCGTTGAACTTTTTATTGATTTAAAAATTACTTCAATCTTTCTGTCATATAATTCCTTTTTTTCTAAACAATGAAAGTGCTGAAAATTCTGATGTTTGTCAAAGTCATTGCATTATGAACAAAAAAGAATTAGATAACTAACACAATTCCAGAAATTATACATTTTATTGCAATTTAGACTGATACTTTAGAACAGTTAATAATAATAAAAAAATTATTTTATTTACTACTGAAAGATTAATAATTCATTAGAATAGGTTGTTATTACAGAAAGTAACTTTAAAGAATAATTTGCGAACCCATAATTTCATTTTCATACAAAATTAAGAATTCCTGCTTACCGTGCAGATGCGTTGCCATTTACGCTATCCAGACCTCCAGTCCGATTTCCTCTTCCAGCGTATATTCCAGACCTCTTCCAGCGTATATAAACTAACTATATAACCATCGACGGTTATTACAACGCCGGCTGGGGTTGTAATAACCCACGCCCTACAAGGCACTCAACCGGCCATCGCAAGCCCCGGCAAGGTGTAATATATACAAACATTGCTAAACCCAATATATAACATAACTAAACACCAATTGTATGCCGAAAATCTATCGGGCTAGTTTTTAAGGCTAATTACTAAATGAATTACCTTACCAATTTGTAATAACCGTCGATGGTTAAATAGTTAGCTTATATACGCTGGAAGAGGAATAGTGGAATAGGACGATTAATTATCTGAGATGTTCACTCTTGACGAAACAAAATTAATGTTTTTCGACTGAATTCGACTACAAAATATTACAACACAAAATTAATGTAAAAATACCGGTTTTTCGACGCTGAATTTTTATTAATTAATTTTTTAAATTGGTGCCGGATTGATTGAGGGTGTGAAATTTCTATTTGACTAAGCACACGCGTGACAATGAGTAAAAAAAATTTTTAATCTTTTTCTATATTTATTATTTATTTGTATTTTAAAAATATGTTTTTCGACTTAATTTAATTTCCATTGTTTAAAACAGAGTTTATTGTATTTTTTTATAGTTGTCATTTGTATTTTAAAAATGTTTTTTTTCTAAACTATGTATTGTTTATTGTATGAATAAAAAGCTTATTTTTAATGTAATTATTAGAAATTCGTGAATTTTAACTACATTTGTTTCATTTATTTTGTATTGTTACTTCGAAAATTTTTCACTAAAAACTAAATGTGTAATATTTTAATGTTAAAAAAATGTATTTATTAAATTAAATGTTTTAAATAAAAGTTTCTGAATAAATTATTTAATCGTCTTTTTTACAGAAATAATTTATAGCCACTTTATAACGTTGTTATAATTTTTAATGTTAATTAATATAAATCACTAAAAAAATAATAAATGTTATTTCATTTATATAGCATTATAAAACGTAATTTATGAAGAAAGTTTGCATTCAAATTATTTCATATCAGGGCTATCAAAAAGTACTCAGCATTTGTAAAAGAAATCTATCGCTTTCTTCACATGCAAAGTCATAAATGAAGCATACGTCATTATCTGCTGTGTATAATTGATAAAAATTTTTCAAATTTCTTTCAAATTGTTCGTTTCGTAAATATTGCTAAACCGATAAGCTAACCATCATGCTGAAAAGATTTTTCAAGATCGAATTGAAAAACCATTAGTTTATTTCATAGTTAACCGGTTTATACAACCAGATCGATTGTTTCCATCTCAATGCCATTCTGTGAGTGACGTGAACGATCGATATTTGGAAAAACAGTCTCAAGGAACACAACACAGCGATCGATTGCCAATCTGAAATTGTCGTGGTCTTCGCAATTAATAATAATAGAATATGGAAATTACTAAAATTAATTATGATAAATGATAATGCATAATTTATTTTCTAATATAAATTTTTGAAAGAATCGAATCAATTAGTACAAGATTTACATGTTATCTTCGCATCCATTTTGTACATACATTGATGCAATGGAGTATTCTTAGGCCAAGACTCCACTAGCTTAAAAACGGGCGTAAAACCCTCGCCGTAAACGCTTTTAATCACGTTATCGTGATATTTTACGCCTGAGCAGGTCGTAAAACCAGCGTACAAGCCAGTTGAGCAGTGTTCAATTCGCTTTCACGCTGGTTTTACGATCTGCTCAGGCGTAAAATATCAGGGTCACGTGATTAAAAGCTTTTACGGCGAGCGGTTTTACGCCCGTTTTTACGCTAGTGAAGTCTCGGCCTTAATTACATCGATGTAGCCTTTCCCTTGAAAATATACGTCGAAGTCTGAACATCCATCGAATCACCAATCATATTTGTAAACATCAGCACAGTTCAGGTCTTCTAAAAAGTCATTGTCGCTTCGAACGAGCTAAAATTTAAGTAATTTGTATAGCCCGACAGATTAGGCACTGAAATATAAAAAATTATCACATTTATTACTCACGCAAATATTATGCGTAATGCTTTAAATTAAACAAACTAGACTCACCGTAAATTTTATAGGAATTGGTTAAATATAATCGATATAACTTGGTGTTATACGCGCCGCCATTATCTCCCACTCCGTCGACGTTTAACCACCAAATTTAACAGCATCAATCCCATAATAAACATCCACTTAAAATTGCAGAATTTTTTTACAAAAAGCACAGAAGTTATTGAGCTTCGAAAAGAAGTTAAACAAAACAAAGTCTTTCGAAACACACAAACATCCATATATACGGAAATTACCCTCGATTTTTTTCCATTTCTCGACGTTTAAAGTTCCCTGAGTCCAATAATGTAAAAACTTTTTGGAGGGGTTAATTTTTGACCGATCGCCGTACTTTCCCATCATTTTACTTTCCGGGCTGTTATATAAATCATGTATAAATTGCGATATCATTCAAGAAATGTGACATGATCAAGTGGAAAGTGAATTGTCACTATTGTTCAATTGTTTTTATTTGAAGTACAGTACGTGGCCGTCGATAGCTTTTACGGGATCCGGAAGAAGAGCGGGCTTCTTTTGCCATTTATTTTTGAACAAACGAATTACGTATAATCTTTCTTTATTAATAAAACTAGCACTCTTAAAATAACTTTTTAAAATTTGTTTAAATTGATTTTTAACTCTCATATATTGGACTAAAACCGTTTCATAAAAATAGTACAAAGAACATTTTTGTTCTGTGTTCTCATAGAAGGCATATGTTATTTCGATAACAAAAACATTTTATTACATTTTTAAAAATTCTTTATTTTTATAACATCATTTTCATAATGAAAACATTCTCTATTATTAATGTGTGTAATATAACTACAATAATAAAATTTCAATAAGAAGTCTAAAAAACTGAATAAATGATAATCTTAGGAATTAAATAATTCCTTACAAGTTTCAAACTGTTTAATATATTTATATTAATTAATATTCCTTCTGCTATAGAGTTTAATGTAAGGATTCAAATCACTGTTAACAGAGAACTTTTGTAAAAAATAATCGCACTTAATTAAATGGCTTTTCTCCCGTGTGGATGCGAAGATGCCTTACAAGATGCTGTTTTAGAGTAAAACTACGTTGACAATGATCGCATTTAAAAGGCTTTTCTCCGGAGTGAATCATCCTATGACGTTGCAAGACGTATTTCCGAGAGAATCCTTTGCCACAATTTTCACACACGAACTTCCTTTCCTTCGTATTGGCTAAATCTGCGAAACACAAAACGTTAAACTTCAATTTTCAAAAGTAATCGATCGTATTAATTACTGCAAAAAATGCAGAAGACATTACTTCTGCACTTCTTGACAAAAAACGCTTCACAATAACTTAAGAAATAAATCTAAATTCAATCAAACATAAATAACATTTGTAACGAACCCCGTGTTTCCATTACAAAAAAAAATAGAAAACTAAAGTTTATAACAATGTCGTCGTAGCGCATTGACAAAAAAATGTTCAATATTAGAGAGGTTGCGGCCGACGTTTTCAACGCGAAAACCTGTACGTCGGACGTTCAGCGCAGCTCTCCTAAAGGCCTACAAGTTTGGCAATGGTGTTTGCGACGTCGAGCACGATGCCACTGACTATCCAAACACCATTGTCAAACTTCTAGGCTTATAAAAAGGCGGCGCCGATCGTCCGACGTACACGTTTTCGCGTTGAAAACGTCGGCCGCAACCTCTCTAATAATTCATCGACACAAATATGTGTAGAGAGACGAATCGTTTTCATCTGAAATCCATTTTCTCAGCAGAAAATATTCATTTCCTTCTTCCATTTTTGTAATTTTTCACAGAAATTCTTCAGGAGAGATGTTGGTATTCCGTAGGAAACATCTTAAAGAAAAAATGTAGAAGTTATAAAATGAATAAAGAATAATTGAGTGTAATTTCTCCTAGGAATTAAAAGATTATTTGAGAAACTTTTATATTATCAAACACGAATAAATTTTAAATACACAAAGGATATTTGGCAATACTTAAGAGGAGTGTTGACAAATCTGAAAAAATAAATAAGATTCAATTATTAACGCTTTCATTGATTAGTCAAAATAAAGTAATTCCATCCATTGAGTATTTTCATTGTTAATAACAAAAGCAATTTCTTTGATTCAGAAGGTACATTTGATCCTACGATTCAGACAAAAGGTAAATCAGTTTAGTTGCGTAGTTAAGACCAGGTTATAGAAATAAGGAAAATATACTTTAATTTAAATTTAGTAAATTTCAATAAATTTAGTGAATTTATTAATCTATTTACTATATATCGAATAAGATGGAGAATATAACGCACGTAATTAAAATAACATACGAACATTTACTTGAAAAATCCACGTGGAAGTTTTCGTTTCGTTCCTTCAATTTAATGTTATTGCTGTTATCATTTTCGCTTCTTCCGAGGAAAGTTCTTCATTTCCTAATGGCAGAGAGGACATTTAAATCTTTTTATAACTAAGAAGTAATTCTCTTGTTAAATAAAAGTAGCTATCTCATTTTCATTTCATTTCATTGCCACAGAGGAGTGGTATAGCTCTCAGCTTTGTCACTCCGGAAGAAACAGGAAGAGTCGGTCTTATAGAAGACGACCAATCCGACCCCCGCGAGAAAGGGAGACAGAATGCCTTCCGGGAGGACTTGGAGGGAAAGCTGGCCCCTATTCAGGCGTCATTGGCAAGGAGGAAAACCCGGAAAAACTCCCGCTGCCAGCAGCGAGTGCGGCGCGAACCCCCGATCGAGCTCCGGTGTTTAGGGTCTGGTCACCACTATCAAGCGGAGACGGAGTCCACTCGGCCATAAAAGTAGCTAACATTCGTTACATATTTAAAAATAACAGTGGCGCCACCTAATATTTTAAAACAAAATTCGTATACATCGACATCACGTCATCAATGGTATCTTTTTAACAAACGTTTTCATTTGAAGTGTTTAAGAAACACATTTCCATTCAAATCCATTATTAGTAACAATGCAAACATTTATTTAGTGTTTATTAAAACTTTAATTACCTGTCATCTGTTAACGATTACCGGTTTCATTTTAAATTATGCAAATTGATGTACAGTACGTTTCTAATTTAAACTAGCCGGAAATCCATGTGTGAAAAAACAATAAAGGAGTTTTATAACTTGAATAGCTGTGAGGTAGTCTACCGAAGGATTTCTTTTTTTCGGATTGAAGAGACATTTACTTACTTAATATTTATTATATATTTGTGAGAATACGGACGAGGGTCAAGGCCCTCTAATCGTCAGATCCTTTAGACCTGCTAACTTTGTCACTGGATGGCTTATTCTAAACAGAATCCGAGTGGTAAGATTCTGTGTAAGTTTGTGCATAAGGAATAAATAAGGAGACTACGAAAGTCCTTTTTATATAGAAATCGACAATTTAATAAGAATTAACAATAACACGAGTAAATAATAAAAATACAGATGAGTAATATGGAAAATACATGAATTATATCCTATCGCTAGCCTAGGATCTATCTGTTCAACCGAGAGGAGTTCACAATAAATCATATTACCTCGTGGGTCATGCTGAATGAGCCGTTCTGTGTAGTTCGGCGGCTGATGCTCGGCCGTAGAAGGAGGGGTCGTATGTGGCATGTTCCTTCTCCTCGTGAACTGCCGTTCGTATGTTTCCTTATGGCGAGTCCTTAATATTGCTCGTGCATTTCGTTGTGGACTGCCCCGAGTATCTGAAAACCTGCCCTTTTATTACCGATTATTTCACAACAACAATTCGTAGAAATGTTGTGTCATTTGACCAGGTGGTGTGCAAAATTCTAAGAGAGAAGGAGTGGAGGAAGGACGCAAAACATCCTCATTTCTTGTTAAATGTTGCGTGACAGAGCAGTTTTTCAGGATGTTAAAGTTTTGTAACCTTTTTAAGTTATATTAATTTTATTTCGAATTTTTATCATTTTTTAACATTTTAAGTGAAAATTAAAGTAAATTATTTATTTAAGTTTGGTTTGGGTGAAAATTATGTAACTAAATTTCAAAGTCCCTCCAGACTATTACATATTAATAAAAACGTTATATTAAATAGTATTTAACAATGTACCTTTCTTTTTGCAAATGAATTATTATATGTATAATTGTTATTCTTTACAGGGTTAATTTTATCTTATTAGAGAGGTTTGCAGTAGACGTTTTCAACGCAAAAACTTATATGTCGGACGTTCAGCGCCGCCTTCCTGTGAGACTAGAAGTTTGACAATGGCGTTTGGAACGTCGAGCATGATTCCACTGACGTTCCAATCGCCGTTGTCAAACTTCTAGGCTTACAGGAAGGCGGCGCTGAACGTCTGACGTACACGTTTCTGCGTTGAAAACGTCGGTTGCAACCTTTCTATTATTTTAAAAGAATCTACTTGTATCAGCTTCACACGTAGAGCAACTAAACGTGTAAAAATATCAATATATTCGAAAATGGTGACATATACACATTTTTTTACTTAACACAAAAATAATTTATGTATCGGATCGAGAAAGGTTAAAATCTTGATTAAATATGAAAACCTTACATCCAGATACACAGATTAATTATGTATAAAATTGGAAGTCGTGTCTTTGATTCAAAATTTTTACTTTCCTATATAAAGCAATAAAACATGTTATTTAAATTAAAATGTACGTCATGTTTTTAATTTTTAATATCGACATTGCTCTTTAATTTCACCTTTCTCATAGTAGTTATTAACTTCGTACAGATAAGATGACATATTTTTACACATTATTTCCTGAAAATATATTTCAGTAGCACGCAATCCGAACTGCATAAATTTGCACATTATTTCTCTGTTGTGAATAGAGTACACCGTGTCTTTCACTGATTTTATGAAACAGATACTTTGATTTTACCATATTAAATCAAAACCGATTCAGTTTTTTACATGAATATAATTGCTCCATTAGCGGCCAAGCGGTTCAGTTCCCTGTACACTCGGGAGTTTGTGCCTCACCAGGACGGGTTGGCCACATGGAGCTTTCTGGGTTTTCTTCACATCTGTAACGCCTGAATTGGGGCCATCTACCGTTAAGATGATTAATAATTTAATTCCGAACATTAACCATTTATTCATTTTTTTTTTTTTTTACTTTTTCTTGAAATTTTATTAATGTAGTTGTATTACAAACATAAAATGAAAACATACTCTATTATTAAAGTTAAGAAAATAAAGAATTTTTGGAATAATGAGAAAGTGTTTTATTGTACAGTAATACCCCGACTTACGCTACCCCGACTTACGCGAACCCGGAGTTACGCGATTTTCAAATCTCGTTGATTCGTCTTTTGTTTGAGCGCCACGCAACCCTTGATTACTCACTCCCCCCACACTATTGTTCAGCTTACATGTTCGGATGTGTCGCGCTGAATCCACACATAGCTACAATTTATTTTGTGTTATTTATTTCTGTGTTTGTTATATCTACGGAGACTCGAGAAACTCTACTATGTCATCCAAACGAAGTAGAACTGGTTCTTCTGCATCAAACAAGAAAAGAAAAACTTTATCTTCGGAATGTAAAGTTAACATTGGGTATGTTCGTAAAGTCGAACGAGTTAAGCGAGAATGACGTCATCGTTATTCCTATTTCGTTAGACTTTTCGAACGATTCGTTACTAACGCGTTTAACTCGTTTGACTTTACGAACGTACCCATTATTAAAGACTTCGATACAAAAATGAAAATTTGTGAATTGGCAAAGAAGTTTGATCTACCGGAATTGTCGGTCAGAACAATTATAAAAGGCAAAGAAAAAATTCTCGAAGCTGTGAAAAATGCTCAATCTTTAAATTCAAGCATCATTCGTAAACGTCACGGTATTATCGCTGAGATGGAAACAATGTTAAAATTACAGCGTAATAATAAAGTAAATGTGAAAAATTGTAAAGTAATATAGGCCTAATTTGTTATACATATGTATTATCTAAGATTTTATTAAATATTTTGTTCTAAATTATTGTTTTCTTTAGTCTCCAACCCTAATTAAAAATTATTTGTATGTATTTATGTGCGAAATTATACCCCGACTTACGCGAATTCGACTTACGCGGTTACCGTTCGTTCCCAACTATCGCGTAAGTTCGGAGTATTACTGTACAGGGTGCTTCAAAAAAATGTATACACACTTTGAACTATTGTAGTTTTCCCGCTCTACAAGGCTAATGTTATATTTCTTCGCCAGGTGGCAGCATAATCGTCCCTCTATGTTATATTATCAGTTGGAATTTGTAATATCAACATGGGGGACGTACGTTTGAGTTTTGAAGAACGTAAGCAGGTTATTAAGTGGTACTGGAAGTTTGAAAATGTAAATGAAGTTCAAAGACAGTGGAGAAGGGAGTATGATACAGAACCACCTTCAAGATTAACAATTACACGCATACGAGACAAATTCGAAGTTCATGGAACAGTGTGTGATGTGCATAAAGGTCATTCAGGTCGGCCTCGAACA